TCCTCCTCATTTTTCTTTTGTCTTCCAAGGCTGGACTCTAGAGTGATGGATTCAGGATTTGCTTTCAGGTATTTCAATAGCTATTGGAGTGGTTAGAATCAGTGTGAGTTCCCTCTCAAAGGCTTCTAGATAAGGAAGAAAACAAATTTGTCCATCATTTTAGAACAATAGCTGGTTGTCTCCATTAGCTACAGGTGGGCACTACAGCATTGGAGACCAATATTTGAAGTCTTACACCTGAGCATCACTTTCTGGTTAGGAACAAAATCATCAATGAGAAATAATTGTCTAAATAACTTTCTTTTTGTCTTTTTGAGACAGGGTCTCTCTGTAGCCCCAGCTGTCCTGGAACTCACTATGTAGACCAGGCTGGCCTTTTTTTGTGGTGTTTAAGACCACACAATTGGCCAAAATAAATCAGTTTATTTTTATACTTAAGGTCATTTGAGCATCTGTTCCTCAGGCATTACATGGCCTTGGGAGGAGCCCCTGGCTCCTTTCTTTTACCAGTTCCATCTATGTGAAGATAAGTCAAAGGTCCTGCTTGACCATGTCTGGCTTCACTTGGAAGCATGAGTGAGATGTTCCCTCTGAGTTGACCCTCTTGTTTGTAGACCGGACACTGGTTCAAGTCCATCTCGTGGGGTCTCCAAGGCCTCCCTGAACAAGAGGTCAGGTGACTCACCACAGTTACAGGACGTTTTGACAGATGTTCCATAGTCCCCTGGAACTTAGTCGACCTTGGAGGGCAAGGGGTAAAAACTGTCCTTTAAGTCCCTCTGACCACATTAGTATAGGCCTCAAAATATGGCTGTTAAACATCCAATAAGGTTAGTTCCACCAGTCTGGTACTTTTAATTATCAAGTGCTTTGTAGATAAGGCTTCCATAGCAAACCAAATATTCTCAGAAAAACCTTGGCTAGATATATACTTTGTTCCTTAAACTAGTTGACTACACTATAACCATAGAAATCTTAAGATTCTGTATATATTATTTTTGTTTCATCCTTTATATATCATAAAAACCTATGCAGACCTTCATCACTTGCTTAGGCTTTCTCATTTTTTTTCTATTTTCGAAAATATCTCCATTCCTTTCCTTTATTATTATTCACAGAGTAAATATTCCTTGTTGAAATTTGAAAATATAGACATGTAAAGAATTGAAATTTCCACTTGAACTTTCCTTTCCCATTTCACTTACAGAGAAAACTATCGCTAACAGTTGTGTGTCTTTCTGGATGGACATTTTGTGTTGTATATTCCTATATGATTGCATTTTATTTTGCTTTGTTTTTAACCAAGAATAATACCATACTATGCATTTTATTCTGCATCTTGCATTCTATTCTGAAGACAACATGCTGAAGATAAACAAACTGAAATACGAACCTAACAATCTTTAAGGTTAATATATATCTTGTTAACAACAAAAGGCACAATAGAAGAAATAGACATATGCTATATATACCTTGTAATGTCATTTTTCATTTTTCAGACAGTTCTTGGCCTTCACATGGTTCTCAGCAACCACCTCCAGGAAACACTTTTTTTTTTTTTAATTGTATCTTATTTTATGTATAGGAGTGTATTGCCTGCATGTATGTAAGTGCATCCATGTCCTGCAATGCCCTTGGAGATCAGAAGAGGATATCAGATCCCCTGGAACTGGAATTACAGATGGTTGTTAACCACCATGTAGGTGCTGGGAATTGAACCTGGGTCTTTTGCAAGAGCAGCTAGTGCTCTTAACCACTGAGCCATCTTTCCAGCCCAAGGAAGCACTTTTAAAACTTTGGAAAAGAAGATAGAATCTTTCTTCTTTCAATTTTATTTATTTTGGAGAAATCAAACTACAACTATCCTAATCAAATAAACCAACATAATGGTTTAACTATACTTGTTCCCTTTTTATCAGTCACATAATGAATATTGAATTCAGTCTTATCTCTTTTTAAATTTTGATTTATTTTTGTGTGTATGAGTGTTTTGTTTGCATGTGCTTCCCCCACTGTTGTACAATGGCCCCAGAGGCCAGAGGAGGATGTCAGATCCCCTAGAACTGAAGTTACAGATTTTGCTAGCCTCCATGTGGGTGTTAGGATCCAAACCTGGGTCCTCTGCAAGAGCTATCAGTGCTCTTAACAACTGTGCTATCTCTCCAGCTCCTAGCCTTAATCTCTTAGCTGCAAAATAATTTCTGTTGCATCATAGTGCTTTGGAGCTGTTTATTCTGTATCAGGGTTGGTAACTGATAGACTTTTTTTGCTCTCACACTGTCACTAATTTTATTTTTTGCATTTATTATAAGGGCTTATTTTGAAGATAAAATTTTAAGCAGAGTGGAAGGAAACATCTGTTTTGAGAAGGAAAAAACAAATCTAGATGCCTTTTAATTTATGATTGATTATATCCCGATAAACATAAGCTGAAAATATTCTGATATAAAATGTATTTAGGGCCAGCAAGATGGCACAGCAGATAGATACACTCTTGTAAAGACCTGACAAACTGAGTTCAATCTTTGGATCCCACGAGTGGCAAAAGAGAATTGACTCCTAAAAGTTGTCCTCCATACATATGCTGTGGCACACACTCACTGCACACACACACACACACACACAGACAGACACACACAATAAATAAATAAATAATAAATAGAAAAGCGATTTAAAAGAGAAATGCATTTAAATATTTTATTTGTTATTTTTATTTTATGTGTATGCATGTATTGACTGCATGTAGGTAAGTACACCCATGTTGGAGGTCAGTAGAGGCTGTTCCATCCCCTAGGACTGGCGTTATGGACAGTTGTTAGCTGCCATGTGGGTGCTGGGATTCGAACCCAGGTCTTCTGCAAGAACAACCAGTGTTCTTAACCACTGAGCCATCTCTCCAGCCCCAAAGAGAAATGCACTTAATTACCTAATCTCTAAGCTGTAAGGCACAGCACAGCAGTAAAACATGCTGCAGAGTCCATTTTTACCCCCAAGATCGAATGGCTCCTGGAGCCATTGCTTGCTACCCAACAAGATGAGTAAACATTTGGAAAAGATCAAAATTCAAAGTATGCTTTCTACTGAATGTCTGTCACTTTCACTCAGTCATAAAGTTGGAACACCATTAAGTCAAACCCCTATAAGTTAGGGATAGTCTGTAAAGCTGTCCTGTCCTTAGAAATATTAAAATGCTTTCCAGACACCCAACTTGCCTTGTAACGCCACGGATTCCTTGATTTTCATGATTCTCATTTACCTAGTGGCATCTTCAGCAGCTATTCTGAATTATAGTGGTTCTTTTGGAGGCTGATGACTGAAAAATTACTGTCCAAAGACTTCTACAAATTCAGTTGCATTTTTGCTTGAAATTGTGTTCATTTGTGAAAATTTGTATTGTGAAGAGTTTAACTTCTTGAGCCAAAACAAACCTGTGACTAGGATTGAACACAGATTTTTTTTTCTTCTGTAGCTATGACATATTCCAAAGTTAATTGTATACCAAAAAAAAGAAAAAAGAAAAAAGAAGAAAAGACAGTGGTTAAAGACTCAAAATAGTGTATAATGGAAATGAAACTTAACAAATGTTCCTGGTCTAGCTCCCTGGCGGTTTAGATGAAGACTGGTGCCTGGTGGGTGGGAAAGCTTCCAGGGATGCTCAGCAGGCTCGACTTTCATTCTTCTTTACTGATACAATATGAACAGGATGGCACAGATGAGCATGCCTTCACAGGTGTGTCTCTCAGTACTTCATGTACTCATTTGTTTTTTTTCACATGTATTAATTCACTCTGGAAACTGTTCAGACATGACATGAGTTAAGTAGATAACACTAGAAAGGATTGTGTAATTGGAGCTGGATGCAGACTCAGGGTCTCCATTCAGTCCTGCCACACTCATTTTTATTCACCTTTCATTTGCCTTAAGATAATGAGAAACCCATGCGCGTGGTGGATGACGAGGACTTGGTAGACCAGCATCTCATCAGTGAGCTGAGGAAAGAGTATGGAATGACCTACAATGACTTCTTCATGGTGTTGACAGATGTGGATCTGAGAGTCAAGGTACAAGCTCTTGCTGTGGGGGATGCAGCTTAATTCCTTGGAATAGTGACCACAGTCAATGAATCCCCTTTTCACTCTCGTTAAATACTCTAGAAAATCTCTCATTTGGTTCCCTGTATTAGTAATGTTTCTTACTTCCATAGTGTGCCATGAACAAGAACCAGTTTAGTGCCAGGACCGTGGAAGTGAACCTAGGGCTTGTGTGACAAGGAAGGTGTGAATCTCTGTTAGTGAAGAATTTAAGAATAATTCCTTGTAAATATACCAATTGCTTCCCAGGTTCTGATTTTCAAGCAATTGGCAGAGAGTACTACTGCACGAGAGCATGTATAAATCACCAAGCTCTCTAGTCTCTGATACATTAAGATTCCTGCAGACTTCTTGTGGAAGGTATGGATTATATGTATTCTGTGCTTCCTTAAACAGCAATATTATGAGGTTCCAATAGCAATGAAGTCTGTGTTTGATCTGATCGATACTTTCCAGTCCCGAATCAAAGATATGGAGAAGCAGAAGAAGGAGGGCATTGCTTGCAAGGAGGACAAGAAGCAGTCCCTGGAGAATTTTCTATCCAGGTACATCGTTTTTGCTTTCCTAGAAGAGACTAGTGCAAATTTGCTTGGAATGGGCTTGGCAAATCCCATAGAAACACAGGGCTTCACATGTGCCAATGGGAAAGTACTTATCTATTTCTTAGCACTTGTCTGCTGGGCTTTAGTCTCGTCCAACGGGAAGTGGCTCTGGTTGCAAGGCCATCTGGTCTAGCTCCAAGTATGAAGGTTGATTGGTGCTGTTGGAATTCTTTGTCTCTTTTGTTTCTTCTTTGGCACAGAGTATAGAATTCGGAACTTCTATGAGGATTACTTTGCCCAGTTGGTGATTATAAAGAGCTGTGTACACAGCTTTTCTTTGTTACATGTCTACTTCACTTTCAAATAGGATTTAACTCACTGCACTTGATATTCCACTTCCTTACAACAAAACAATGAAAGCTCCTTAAGATCTGAGAAGGATGAATCCCTAGTCCAGCTCTTCTCTGGGAAGTATTGTTTATTGAAAGCCATTTCAGGGCAACCTTAGTGCCCTCCTCCTCCTGGGAGGAGTATACCCAGAAAAAAAGAGTAAAAAAATACAAAATTTCTTCCTTTCTTCATGGCTTCCTCAATATTGGATAAAAGTTCTCCAGGGACTTCAGAGCCATTTGGAGGTGCAAAAGTGAAGACATCTACCCAAACAAGTTGAATCACACAGACCAAAGTATAAATGCCATCCCAACAGCACTTCCTGACTGAGGGGCTCCAGAAATGAAGCACACATTTTCTAGAGGTGTGCTGAATGTTTGCCACATCTTTACTCATGTCTCTAAAAGTATATTCTCTTCACATCAGTGTCTCAAGAACTGAGTGGTTAGCGAGTGGATCACTACAAATTCAGGAGTTGTGGGGTTCTTAGGATATAGCATCACGATATATTAAAGCACATAGGATTCATCATTCATCCAATGTTTCAATTTGCATCTTACTAGTTATGTTGACTTTGTACTTCTCAACTAATCTACATTAAAAACTCTCTGCTACAGATGAAAATAATGCTAAGAAGTAGCCAGCCATTCCTCCATCCAAGGATGCTGTGTGCTTATCTCTGTGTCAGGCACTTCACATTCTGTTAAATAATTTGATTGTAAAATGTTGGCTCACAGGCTCATGTGTTTGAATATTTTGGCTCCAATTGAAAGAACTGTTTTGGGAGGTTTTGGAACCTTTTGGGGGTGGGGCATAGCTGGAGGAAGTAGATCTCCTGGAAGTGGGCCTTGAGTTTATAGTCCAACTGTAATTTCTGTCCCTTCTCTGCTTCTTAATTTGTCAGTTTGTGAGCAAGCAGCCTGTCTTCCACCGCTCTGGGCACAAGTTTTACCTGCCACCACACCTTCCCAGCCATGGCAGACTGTATCTTCAAACCACAAGCCAGAATAAACCTTTCCTCCCTAAAGTTGCATATGTCAGGAAATCTGTCACAGCAACAAGTAACTAATGCACCTGCATTCCCTAGTTTAATTCTCATGGCAAGTCCCTGACCTAAATGCTGTAATTCCTGCTATATGACAACCAAGGCTAGTGGAGATCAAGCACTTTTCTCCCATCCCTGAGCCAATGTCAGTCCCAAGAGTTCCATAATAGAACACTCTATTATCTTATCTTAATGGTCTTTTAGAAAATACAGTGTGAGTCATCTATACCAGAGACCCAGACTTTGAAGTAAAGGAAGACACTTCTAAAAATCATAGGATTTTAGGGATGAAAGGAACCTAGGATGTCTTCCAGACTCTCAGTGGAGTATAGGTATCCACAATAGAAATAGAAGCTGAATGACTTCATCAGGACTTAGATTCAACTCAGGCTTCAAGCTACTCATGGCTACAAAGAGGTTATGAATTCCACTGGGAAGACAGATGTCTGTGAGTCCAGTCCTAAGGACACTGAAACACCAAACTGTAATCCAAGGTTATTGCTTGGACAGGATTGACTCAGAAGATCATGATGAGAGCTTTTGGTTGCCCTTGAGGAATAGCTCTTTTTTTCTTTAAAGGTAGTGAAAGATCTTTTAGTAGTTAACTTTTGACTCTAACAATAGTTTTAAATATGCTAAAGGTAATGTAAGATCTCAAGTCTCAAATAACTTTTATGTTAAGTTTATGAAATTTTGTTTTTCTATTCATAACTTAGAAAATGTTGGCCACCAGTTTTAGAAGGGCTTTGACTGATGCTTGATATTGTTAGAAACTCTAATCCAACAATGCTGTTCTTTCACACGGGTATTATAAATTTCAAGATATCTCTTCCAACTATTTGAAATAAAGAACCAAACTCTGAATATTTAATCAATTCAGATGTTTAATAGGTTAATGTTACAAATATACAATGAATTTAAAGTTCTTTCAGATGCTCTAGAAACTGCATTCACACAGATTTCAACTTAAGCCACACTTCTTACTCAGTTACTCGGTATCATTTGGAGTTTCAATGTTATCATTTTATTAGGCCAAATTCTTTAAGTTTCACAAGAACATTTTATATATACATATACATATTAATACACACAGGGTATATTCCTGTTGAACCATCCCAGTAAAACAGACAGGATGTACATTCTCTGATAGTTACCATCCATTTCATTGATGTCATTTAACACCAGATTTAGGCCAGTTGTAAGCCCTGGACCTACAGACGTCCAATGGCATTCTCTCTATAAACACTCAGAAAACATGGTTTTTTTTTTTTTTCACTGTTATGGATTTCAGAATTTGAAAAACAAAGATGGCTTTATCTTCATTTGTTTGCTTACAAAAGCTTGTAATATTCAGCCGGGTTATTAGTTTGAATCTGGTATTTCCTTGATTCTTAAAACACATACAAATATTTTACTTCTGAAGTCTTTTAAACTAGATAGATCCATGAAATTTGTATTTTTCTATCCATTGTAAGAGGCTTACATCTTCTTATGTTTAGTAACTTTTCAGGAAGATATCTATATAAGCATTCAAGTAGGGTATGCTTATACTTATCATGTTCCATCAGTGTGCCTGGCCTGTTGACACCCTCAAGAAATTATTCTGTTAATAACTGTTACTGATCTTAAAAATTAAAATGAAACAGTGTGTTACTTAAAGACAAGAGTGAGAAAGTCCTGAATTTTAATTCTGCCTTTTTTGCTCATTGCGTGTGCGACCTTTGGCTAATTAGCTTACCACCCTGGACTTCAGTTTTCTTGATTGCAAAATGGTAATAATAAGTATGCCTGTTCTTAAAATCATTATGAAGGGTCAATTCAGTGTAAAGGTATAGATAACCCAGGACTTATCACAAAGCAAATAATCAATATGTGCTAGCTATTAACAGTATTAATCAGCTATTCAGGTCCTATTACCAAACTTTGTTGGCTTGGCAAGGGAGATGTGAGAGAGATTTAGCAAACATTCAAACCTGAAGCCCAAACAATAAGAGGGGGAAAAAAAAAAGAAATCCTGAAACTGAAAAACAGTTCTATGACTAAACCAGTGTCTAAATGGGACTTCTCTTTAAATTTGCCAAGTTGTTGGTGGGAGTGCACAGCCTAGTTTCAGCTGACCAGATCCTGAAGCCAGTCTGGTCTTTAGCAATGTGATTCAGGCTATAATTACCTCTCCCCGAGACAGAAGTCCTAAAGAGTGGGCAAATGCACACTAATCAGGGAATGCCAGTTAAAAGAAGCAAACACATTGCAGAGCTTGTAGGGATTCATTGAATCAGAATCTGACATGACAGAAGAGTAATGAGCCCCAAATGCGGATCTGAATTCAGGGGTCACAATTCTTGTCACAGCCTTTGAAAGTTACTTCCTTTGGTACCTCTGAGCTTGGGGCCTTGCATCCCTGTGTGAGAAGCCCACTCATTCCTTAGGCAAAACAGCCTTCTTTGGGTTGTGTCTGGGACAGGGCTTCTCATCCCTCTACCATCAAGACTGCATTCAGTGGGGCACACAGGTAAACAAGTCAAAATAGACCTCACCAAAATAACTCCCTCCAGGACTCCCAATGGCTCCACGTAGGCCAGAGAGGCTGGCTTGGTTAGATCCTGGCTAGGGGCCAGCTCCAGTCTGGCACTCCTCCTAAGGAAGCAGAGAGTTCTCTGAGACCATGCTTGTAACCCAGCAGCTGTCACTGTTCCGTTTCCCAGGAATCTCCAGACTGTCTCAGATGCTCCTTTCCCTTTATCTGTGCCAAAACATTCATTTCCTTGTCCTCCATGAAGACTTTTATTTTTCTTTATCTTTGAAGAAAAACAAGCAAAGGAAAAGAATGTAATGTCACAGCAAGCAATCCCTGGCAAGTCTTAGGATAAGCCTCCATTCAGAGGTTGTGTTTCATCAAACTATTCTTGTCTTTCATTCACCAAACCAGATTCCCCAGGAGGCCATTTTCTTTGGGGTTGAAAACTCTCATGTTCACTCTGAAGCTAGAAAAGATGCTGAGAGAGAAGCTGTTGAATAAAATGGCTCAGCTCAGTGAGTGTCTTAAGAACCTCTGGTTGCCAGCACTCAAGACAGAAAGCAGAATTTCTCCAGTTTGAGACAACTCCATGAACTTGCCCCTTGATGCACACTGTCTGCTCTTCATACTGCATTGGGGACCATGAAAGCCTGAGTCAAGTATCAGAGTCTCTGATTTGGCAGGGTGGGGAAGCCCCGGAAAAGCCATCTATGCTGTGGTACCACCTTAGAGTATTCAACTTTTTAAGTTACTCACCTCTTCTCTATATGGATAAAACAAAGCATGCTTCTCCTGAACCTCAGTAAGGAACACTTACTGTGTCATGAAAGTGAGCTATAAAAAGACATATAGACCTAAGAATTAAATAGGTTGACATGTCACTGGGTGTGATAGTGCACACCTTTGGTCCCGCCAAAGGCAGTGGCAGGCAGAGCTCTGAGATCAAGGCCAACTTGGCCTACATAGAGTATTCCAAGACAGCTGGGGCTACAGGGAAACCCTGTCTCAAAAAAAAAAAAAAAAAAAAAGTTCCAAGACAGCTGGGGCTACAGGGAAACCCTGTCTCAAAAAAAAAACAAAACAAAGCAAAAAACAAAAAAAAAATCAACAAACCAAACAACAACAAAACAGAAAAAATCAAAGCAATACAAAACAAAAACAGGTTGTCATGTGGCATTGTGCTGGATGATGTCCAGGATCTGCTAATGACAGACCTCTTTGAAGCTGGGAGTTGCAAATTAAGACACACTTTCCAATAACATATATGGATAACATATTGATGGATTTGGAGTTTAATTCTTGTAATACCCCTTTGAAGTAAACACTATATGTGTGTGTGTGTGTGTGTGTGTGTGTGTGTGTGTGTGTGTGTATATATATATATAATTTTGTCTTTTTAAGACAGGGTCTCTTTGTAGCTCCACCTGGCCTAGAACTTGCTATGTAGTCCAGGCTGGCCTTGAAGGACTTGAACCCACAGAGATTCACCTGCCTCTGCCTCCAGAGTGCTGAGATTAAAGGCGTGTACTACCATACCTGGCCATGATAACAATATTAAGAGTAGAAGCCAAGTTTACTAAAATCCCATGGTTTAAGGTTTTACACTTTTTAATTTTATAGGAATAGTTTGTGTTGCTTCTTATTAATGATAATAAGGTAAAATTAAGAGCTTGCATTTGCTTCTAGAATAACAATCGGCTGCCAAGGAAGGTACATGAGGCTTTATTTTTCCTAGAACCTTCTTTGATCATTTCAGCCACTCCCATTTTTCTTCTTCCTGCCATGATCATCTACTTAAAATTTAGTTGTGGTTTTTGGTCATTTTTTTTTTTGAGACAGGGTTTCTCTGTAGCCACAGGTGGCCTGGGACGCACTATGTAGACAAGGCCAGCCTCTGTCTCCCGAGTGCTTGAACTAGGCTTTTTTTTTTTTTTTGGTCTTTGAGACAGGGTCTTCTGTAGCCTCAGCTATCCTGGAATTTGCTTTGTAGACCAAGCTGGCCTTTATCTCATAGAGATCTACCTGCCTCTGCTTCCAAAGGCTGGGACTAGATGAAAGGTGTGCACCACCATGCCCAACTTCTACCCTTTTCCTTGTTCAAATACTTCCTGGCTGTCTTCAAAGTCTAAGGAGAACTCTACTAGACCTTTAATTCTCTTCAGTTATCTTTTGTAGTCCTGCTGCTTCAGTTACAATTCTGACCAGTCTTCATTATATCTGAGAGATTCATTTCACCCCAAGCGACCTCATCAGGCACAGTGACCACAGGCTTATACCTGACATAGCATGTAAACACCAAAGGAGGCAGACTAAAGGTACAACAGAAACACTGAAAGACTGTGGTGATGCAGCTCTATGGCTTTAAGGAGCTGTGGGACAGTTGTATGGTCAGTGATTTTATTCTGGGAGTGGAAAAAAACCAACAGGCGACATCACTCTGCTCTCTTACATTGGGCTCTGTTGTGTGAAGCAGTAATAGTGGCCTTCTGCTTCTTTTCCAGGTTCCGATGGAGGAGGCGGCTGCTCGTGATCTCTGCCCCTAATGATGAGGACTGGGCTTATTCCCAGCAGCTCTCTGCCCTCAGTGGTCAGGCATGCAATTTTGGTGAGTGGGAAGCACCTCATTTCTGCTTTCCCATACCATTTTCTTTCTGAGCAATTCTGAAATGGAACGTTGAAGCTTAGCTCATCCAAATATTCTCCAGTCCAGATGTGGATCCCCTGACACATGCTCTCTTATATTGAGTATAAAGTTGCTTTCCAAAGTGCAGTTTTAGTCAGCTATAGAGTTTTGCCCCTCTTTACATTCTACATGGAAATGTTTGACAGTATCTACTGCTTTACTTGTATTATTTGTTTTTTATTTCTTTCTAAAAATGTCTCAAGATGATGAAATACAGGTATCATCACTTATTTAATACTTGGGTATTAGTTCTTGTCATTGGATACATCTCCATTAATTAAGTATGGCTCTGAGAAATACTAAATAGAACCTTATTTTTCTGAAAGCATCTTACTATGTAACTTCAAATCCTCCTGCCTTCTCCTCCTGAGTGCTAGAATTAGAGCTATGCATCACTATGCCTGTTTAGCATCTTTTAAAGCCAAGTCGAAACAAATTAATGTTTCTTTTTTCCACATTGTTTCAAATCCCTCAATGTTTTGAAAAAATAGCATAATGTCTTACTAAGCCTTATCTACTGGGTTGACTAAAAGTGCTAGTACTATTTTGAATCTGGTCACAGAACCTACTATAAGCTTGAGTATAAAGTGTGAACTAGGTTGATGGCAGTGTCAATAGAGGTCATGTCACAGCTGGGATCCATGAAACGTGGCACTACAGAGGGGCCACTTTGAGTCATTAGAAGTGTGTGGAGGAGGTGGCTGAAGGCCGTCGATTAAAAAAATCATTCATTACAACATAGACAAATCAGGATCATTTTGGTACTTCCAGGAGGAAGAATCATGTGTTAGCTTTAAAACTGTACTTGATCTTTAAAGAAAAGGTGTTCTTAAGTTTGGTGAAGCATTATCAGGACCATTATCAGGTACATCCCAGTACTTGTAAATTTAAGTACTTTTCAATTTTATGATGTGAAATAACTCAAAAGAAGGCAATAAGGCTGGACAGCAAGTTTAGTTAAGAGCATTGGCTGCTCTTGCAAAAGACCAGAGTTCTAGTCCAAGCAGCCACATGGTAGCCAACCACCATCTGAGACTCCAGTTTCAAGGGATCGTACATCCCCTTTTGATCTTTGTAGACAGTGTACACATGTGGTGCACTTACATACTTATGTGCAAGCAAAACACTCATATACATAGAATAAAACATTTTTTACAAAGAAGGCAGGAAGCAAGTTCAAAATGGTAAGACAATTCATAAAATTTTCACTTATTCTCCAATTATCAATGTTAATAAATTAACATGGGATCTATCAACATAGAATACTCTATTGTGTCACTATTCTGAAGCATATTTTAAACTCTTCATAGTGCTAATTGTGAAAGATATTCTTAGAGCAATTAATTATTCATCACAATAAGATTACAAATCAAATCAAATCCAGGTTTAGTGGCACATGCCTATAATCTCAGGATTCAGGAGACCCAAACTAGAGGATTGTGACTTGTAGGTCAGCCTGGGCTAGAGAGTGAGGCTCATTTCACAAAAACAAAGAAAATCATGGTTTGCTTCTTTTCTGTAAATGCCTTTTCAGGAGATATTAGGTGGTGTTTGACTTTTGGTTTCAGCACAGAAAGCCTGTTCCACACAGGAAATGTGACGAAGTCATGCTTTCCAGGAGTAACTAAACTCATGATCTTCCCTCTTGAAAATATGATTCACCAATGTTTAGAACAGAATGCTTTACTTTTCTGGGAAAAGGGTAAAGGCCAAAAACAAAAGTGAGGAATAGCATTTTTCTTGATTTTAGCTCCTCTTTGAGACACTTCCCACATCAACTTTTAATTTTGTCCCCTGGGCAACAAACTCCATTGATGGTGTTATCATTAGCTCTAAGCTATGACCCTCACTAAGTTCTTCATCTTCTTGTTTTCTTTCTCCTGAATCCTTTAAGAATTCTGACAAGCTACCAAGGCATCCCTTCCCTTCTTTGCTGAAACCCTAGCTGAGGATGGGAGGCAAGGGTTTCCCCTCCGGACCCTCCAGATGAGGGTAAGAACCTAGCAGTGATATAAAGGAACTTTCCTGAGACTAGCTCTTCAGCCATCTCCATAAATGGGTCTGCAGTCTTTCTCTTTGAGGGGAAATGAAGTTATTCATAAAAAATGTGAAAACTTCAGGCTTAATTTTTTTCAGAATACCAATCTTTGCGTTTAGCTCATGTTAGGTATTTTAATTTCAGTAGTTTCATTTTTGCCATCTTATAGTGAGAAGCAATTTAAGAGCCAATTCTATTTCAGTCTACCCCCCCCCACAAAAAAAACCCCGAACAACCTGATTCTTGTTAATCCTAAAAATCTGTAATTGGTCTTTTCACAGTTTTCAGTGTTTCCTGTCTTTTGGAAATATCAAGAACAGATTATTCTACTTGGGTTATTATGTCCTATGTTCTTTTCAAATTCAAAGATATTTTTAATCATCAAGTATTAGGTCCTTGGAAATAAGAGATAAATTTCAAATCCTTCCTTTAATTTTGTGGCTTTTTTTTCTGTTTCAGGTCTGCGTCACATAACCATTCTGAAGCTTTTGGGTGTTGGAGAAGAAGTTGGAGGAGTTTTAGAACTGTTCCCAATTAATGGTAATATGTTATCTTGAAACACTATGAATTACTATTAAGTCTAATTAAATTATAGTAAGTTACGTGCAATCGGGGGTATACCTCAAAAGTACATTGTGTATGTATGCAAGCATGCTTGTGTGCACAGGATGTGATGGGGGAGGGGTTGGACAATGACTAATATTGGTTTTGATATAAAAATCATTCAAATTAACAGTAAAAATATCAATTTTCTTAACTAAAATAAGGCTTTGTCTATAAAGTGCTTTATGTGTTATGAAGTGTTTTATGTTCTATCATTTAATCTGATGATAGTTTTGTGATTTTCTAATTTTTAATTGAATTTTTGAAAATTTCATACAATGTATTTGGATCAAATTTAGGTCTCTTACCCTATTGGCACCGCTTAAAATATCTCCAGCCCAATTTTATGTACTCTAATATATATAGGCTTATAGAGTCAAACTTTATCCCCAATAACCCTCGATGTGGGTCTATCCCCTGGAGCCTGGTCAACCCACCAAGAGTCTCACCCTTAAACAAGACTGACCCTTCCCCTCTAAGCACCCATTGGTTGCCAATAGTTCTTCTGCCAGGGTTGGGGTTTCTTGCTCACCTCCCCACATCCATGCTGTGATTCAGCCTGATTTGAGCTTATGTGGGTCTTGTCCAATCTGTCACCATTGCTCTGAGTTCATATGAGTTTCCAGTTGTCTGGAAAACTGTTTCCCTGTGGTCATCTACCACCTCCGGCTCTTATAACATTTCCATCTCCTCTACTGTAATGATCCCTGAACCTTGACAGGCAGAAGTTTGATATAGGTGTCCTATTCTGGGATACGCACTTTGCAGCCTTATTCTCTGCACATTGGCCAGTTGTATGACTGTGTTAATCACCATCTGCGCATAAGGAAGCTTCCCTGTTGAGAGTAGAATGATACATTAATCATGTCAGGCCTCAGAGAACTGGTAGATATAGGGGAGCTTGCAGATCTGCAGGTATGCTCCATGTGATATATGTTTATGTCACCTTGATTTCCTTTCAACAGATAAGGAAATGTAATTAAAGGCTCGGAGAAAGTAAAAGAAAATGACAGTTGACTGAAGGTTTCAGTAAACATATCTAGACCTTCTATGACCCTGCTTTTTAAATGCTAGTGTGTGGAATACCTGGAACAGCACCAGAATAGAATCCCTAGGAATTGTCTTTCTCCTTTTTTTCCCTTTTCATTCATGATACTAGTTTAGATCCGGTCATCTAGATTTTAATGTAATTGCTATCTTTCACCCTCAACAACAAAATAAACTACTATTTCTTGAAAGGAAAACTAATTGCAAAGAAGTAAGCTAATTGGAAATAAGCTTAGAAATAGAAACATCGTCTTTGTCAGTGACAAATTTTAAAGACGTTGATGTTGGCAGGATTAATTTAAGGCATGAGTTTTATATTTCATAATCTTCTCAGAAGAGATACCAATTGCCTCATCATTTGACACTAACAATGTTGCACAACAGCAGGGCATTCGATTTCTAGAAGGAAACCCCCAATAGACTTAACTGTGTTTTGAGCTAAAGAGAACAGGTTAATGGATCATCTATGTTCATGGTGATTTCACCTTGCTTTGGTATAACTATGAGCTCTGACTCCACTAACGTCCACTGCAATGCTATTCTAGGGAGCTCCACTGTTGAGCGGGAAGATGTACCAGCCCATTTGGTGAAAGATATCCGAAACTATTTCCAAGTGAGCCCAGAGTACTTCTCCATGCTTCTAGTTGGAAAAGATGGAAACGTCAAATCTTGGTATCCTTCTCCTATGTGGTCAATGGTCATTGTGTATGACTTAATTGATTCCATGCAACTTCGGAGACAGGAAATGGCCATTCAGCAGTCACTGGGGATGCGCTGCCCAGAAGATGAATATGCAGGCTATGGTTACCATAGTTACCACCAAGGATACCAGGATGGCTACCAGGATGACTATCGACATCATGAAAGTTACCACCATGGATACCCTTATTAAACAAAAACGTGTAACCCTAACCCCAGCCAGTTTCCGTTTCAGTTGCTAAAGCTGTGCATGGCCAGCTACAGAAGGGAAGTCTTCCACACTGTGTTCCCTGCCCTTTTCTTTCAGTGTTCTTCCAAGATTAAAGAAATAGTAAACTTTCCCCTACTCATGAATTGTTTTTGAAACTTTTAAGTTACAAAGAAATTTTAAAGAATTGTCTCTCTAATTAGGGATGGCAGTGCTAAAAAAGGAATAGTATGCTTCTTTTCTTACATAATAGTTATTTGGTTTACAAAATACTATGAAGTATTTATGTCTTTATTTTTCACATAAATTGGTAAGTGAAAACTATGATTATTTAAAAAAATTAAAAATCACAGTACAAATGTTTTTAGGAAATATCTGGATAGGTACAACAGAGAAGAGATGGCCTCTTAACAGTTTTTGAAATATCAGCCTAGATATTAGCCTAAGAGCACCTAACTCAGCCTCCTGGGCTGAGCTTCCCAAATTGCCACATGCTCATCCATCTGCTTAGGGAACATCTGCAGTCCTTCCCACTGCCAAAGCAGGTTTCCCTGCTGGCTAATAGGGGTCCAGACCTTCGGAGACTGCCTGAGAGAGCCTGACTAGGCATCCAGGGTGAACGTTCCAAATCACACTGTGCCCATACCCCTGCTTTGGGACCATCTTCAGTCCCTCCCACTGTTCCAGGGCCAGGTTTACCTGATGGCTAGTAGGGACCAGCATATCCACCTCCCAGTTCCTCTCCTTGGACCTTGGCAATATCCATCAGAGGCTTCTGAAGTGCTTCTAACCATCAAGGGTTATGCTGACCTTCTGGAGAGTCCCTGAGTAGCTGATTCGAGACATCCAGTCCCTCCAATATAAATCTAAAAATACTAGACTGGTGGAACTTCTTGGATGTTTAACAGACATACTTCGAGGCCTATAATAATTTGGTCAGAGGGACATAAAGGACACTTTTTGCTCCTTGCCCTCCTAGGTCAACTAGTTCCAGGGGACTATGAGCATCTCTCAAAATATCCTATAATGGTGGTGGGTCACCTGTCCTCTTGATCAAGGAGGCCAAGGAGACCCCACCAGATG